ACATTGATGTCAAATTTTCTTATATAGACGGCAAGGTCACAGGTCTATTCAAAACATCTCTATTTACAGCTTGTAGTGTCATATTTAATCAGTAATATTTTCATTCAATTACTTTTAAATTCAAATTCAACTCTAATCAGTTATATCTTTGCTCAATTTTAATTGTATTCAGCTTTAACTTTACTCAGTTTCATTTTAATTCAGATTCATCTCTAGTCAAATTTAACTGTACCCCTGTAACCCTGCCATATGGACATATCAAAAAATTTTTTGACGGAAATTGAAATTTTGTTAACATATTGCATGCCTTAAGCGCGAAGCGCGCAGGTATGTTCTACTCTCGCCTAAAAATCGTGATTTCGATTAAAACGTGATTTTCATAATTTAAACGAAAAGAATTATGGATAAAAAGCATATTGAAATAAATAATAGTAACTAGAGAACATGTTAAAAAAATTATCTTATCGATTAAATAAGATTTCTCAGAAAAAACTCGTTTTTCTGATGAATTAAATGAATAAGAGCGTGGTATTCAAGGAAGCACTGGGCTTGATAAAACCACAACTTTGTCAAAAATCACTTTCACGATTTAATTTTTTTTTTGTTTTATTCCTGAGGAAGTTTATCAAAACCCTTGTAAAAATTGCGTGTCAAAATAATTCCGTTTCGATACAGTTAATTTTTTTCGATTGTCAGTTCGGTGACTTTTTCTGCGATTTCGGCAGCCATATATATTGTTTTTCATAAACAGGATTGAAATAACTATAAACAAGCAGAAACTATACATATATGATGGTATAATTACTAACTGTTTTATCATCTGTTAAAATTTTTCTTTAGCTCGACCTACAGAGGGGATAATACTACTTGCGGGAAAATTCAAATTAAAAACGAATAATTTTTGTTATGATCTAAATAATTTATGTATGACATGAGCGCTTAAGGCATGCTCATTTGGATTTTCCAAACTTTTTAAAGATATAAGCTCATCCCGATGTTATACTCATCGAGACTTTTCGTTTGAGTATCCACATCAATTTTTCATATATTTTATATATTATATATATGTATGTATGACAAATATATCAAAAATGCATGTGGGTACTCAAATGAAAGCTCTTGGTGAGTATAACATCGAGATGAGCTTATATCTCTAAAAATGTCAATATTTAATAAATTCAAGATTTTTTTTTATTAATCTTACACATAATTGATTAACTTAAAAAAAGTTGAATTTTTTGAGTCATGTGATCTTTTCTTTCCTCTCATTTTTTTTACAGCAATAATTTCTAGCGAAATATTTAAAACATGATCAATTTTAAGCCAAAACACATGATTAATAGATTCTGTAAATTGTCACTTAAAAAGTATATATTTACGGGATAGTCTGAAATATTAAACATTTATAAAGTGAATTATTCAAACTAGCTTTGCCCGACGGTTGCTACAATGTCCTACGAAATTCCTGCATTAAAGCATAAGTTATACTGACGAGAAAGTTAGTGACAGGGTTTACGAACAAGAAAAGTTAGCAGGTATACTGGTTGGCTCGTGTGCGTCTAATTTCAAGAATGACCTTGTCTTCACGTAGATTGTCTTCTCCCATTAACGTGCTCTCTCTTGCTCTGGTACGGATTCAAGCATTACCGTCGGAGCTTTCTGACGAGAAATTGTAAACGCAGGAATACACAGGACACTTGAGATGTTGGCTTGTGTACACTTCGCTTAGCTCGTTAACCAAACAAAATTTACATACATCTCGTACGTATAAACTTTTATTCATGTGTTAAA